TGAGAGCAAGACCAAATACTTCTCCAGTGAATGTCTCCAGATCTGTGTCACCCAGGCTGCATTTTGTAGCAGACCTCAACAATGCAACATTCGCTTTGAGCTCAGTCACTCAGAGAGGGTCGGTGGCATTTACGGCTCCGCCCACACCTTCCCAGGGGCCCCTGTGCTCAGACTTCTGGGCCTCTGTTCCTCATTGGACCACTCTCAGGCTGAGATCGTATGAGACTTTTCAGGCAAATACACAAATCTTCATGTGCACTTTGCATGCACAGGGGCATGAGAACCACAGAGAAATGGAAGACACTGAAGCCGATGAGCTAGAGTTCTGTTATACCATGGAGGACAGAAGGGAGCCCTGAATATACAAGACCATGACATTAACAGGTGGGAAAGTTAATGGGAAATAAACATACTATGAATTCTAGGATGCTTGCCAGACTTCTCCCAGGACATGTAGACTTGTGGATTTGACTGAAGCTCCACACCAGGGTGCCACCCACCACTTAGCCATCCTTAGCAAAAAGGCAGAACGTTCGTTCCCCCTGATCCCCCACCAACACAGTGGCTATGACCCCATCACTATGCAGCATCTCCTTGCTGGTTGGTAGGCTCATGGGCATCAGAACCTTCATGGCAGGAGGCCACGGGTATTCTCAGCAGAGTCAGAGTTGTGCCCAGTCTTGGAGCCTGACTCCAAAGCTCTCCAGGACTTCCCACGAAGCCACAGCCGCACATGGTCTCAGGTGCAGAGCAGCCTACCTGCATCCCAACCACCAAAAGCACTTTTATGTGTGCATTTATTTTGCTTCCAAAATACATTTTCTTTCCAATCTTAAAAGGAATACATATTCACCGTGAAAAACATAAAACATACAGCAAAAAATTAAACCCATCAAAAAAGAAAAATTCCACTAAAATGTTGGTGTATTCTCTTTCATTTATGGTTTTCTAATTTGGTAAAGATTTGTGTTTGTTTCTTCTTCCCCCATCAGTAATTCATACCCATTCTATGCACAGGGAAATAATTTTATAACTTCACTTATATCTGCTTTTTCTCAGTTTACCTTTAATCTGCATGATGAGAAACTTTAATAAGCATTGCTTTATCGTGGCATACAATGTCATTGTGTAAATGGACCATGATGCACTCAGGCATCCTTCGTTAACCCACGTAGGTATCTGTAGTTGGTTTTTATTTTTTATTTATTAACATTACTACTTATATAACATAGTTACTGTATTTCAGATTTTTTTCTTAGGATGCTTTGCCCAGGCGTGGAATTAATGAAGTACAAGATGTGGTTTAAAAATAGCTGTTCAGGGAACCAGCAGTTAGCGTAATGGCTATGTCGCTGGACTCCCACGTAGTCGACCACGGTTCGTGTCCCGGACCCGGTGGCTTAAAACTCACGCCAGGCGCGTGTGCGTGCGTGCCCAAGATCCCGGGAGGAGAACGGAGGAGAAGGGATTGCGGCGTGACCATCCCCCCTGTTAACCCACGTAGGTATCTGTAGTTGGTTTTTATTTTTTATTTATTAACATTACTACTTATATAACATAGTTACTGTATTTCAGATTTTTTTCTTAGGATGCTTTGCCCAGGCGTGGAATTAATGAAGTACAAGATGTGGTTTAAAAACAGCTGTTCATATACATGTTAAGAGAGAAGGCGATGCAGCCAGCAAGCGGCATGGTGGTGAAAGCACTGGATCTCACGTGGCCGATACTGGGATTCGGGTCCCAGACCCATGACTTGAAAATCACACCAGATGTGTGTACAAGTATACCCAAAATCCTGAGAGGAGAATGGGGGAGAAGGGATTGCAGTGTGGCCATTCCTCCTGGGGGATTATTTCTTACTTTCCTCCTCTCTCTGTTTACCCCTGTCTCAAGGACCCTGATCCTCAAGAACAAGTCTTTTAGAGTCAATTCCAAAGTTGGAAATTCAGTAGACCCCAAATTTTCCAATGTTGACATTTTTAAAATTCAAAGTCACAAAAGCTCATGAAATTTATACTTTCTTCCATGACAGAGAGAGACAGACACCCCAGTAGGATTCTGGTGCTGAGACCCAGCCCAGTTGCAGCCAGCACAAATCATGGTCATACACACGTGTTCCAGGCATGTACAGAGAGGTCCTGCGACAGGAACACGGGGTATTTCCAGTTCGGGTCCAGTTGCATTAATGTGCCACCACTGGCCCACTAAAATCTATGCTTTCAACTTATGTAAAGTCTTTAGAAATGATCACAACTTGAGTACCATGCTGGTGGCATGATGGCTAAGGTGGCTGGATCCCACATAGCCCACTGCTGGTTCAAGCCCCAGACCTGGAAGTCTGAAAAACACAGTGGGGCACATGTGCATGCCCAAAATCCTGAGAAGAGAAGAAATGGAAGAGAGGCGACTGCAGTGTGACCAGGCCTCATGGAGATTGCTTGCTCTCCCTCACCCTCTCTGTCTGTCTTGGGCACGTGCATGAGCTCTCTGGCAAATTAAACAGAACGGTCACAGCGGCTGTACTAATTTACATTTCTACTCACAGTGCAGGAGAGATCCCTTTTCACCACAGCCTCGCCAGCACTGACCATGCTACATTTTTTAAATCTTAGTCATTCTGACTGGGGTTAGGTGGTATCTCATTGTAGTTTTGATTCACATCTCCCTTGTACACTATAAAATACTATTCGGCCATAAAAAAACAGGAGACTCTGGCATTTGATAGAAAGTGGACAAATATGGAAGACTTACTGCTGAGTGAAGCAAGCCAGACTATGAGAGAGAGGCATTGTATGTCCCCACTCACTACACACCGATGGTTGGCACCCTACAGCAGAAATGTAAGAGCATGGTGAGCAACGGTGATACTGCAGACAGTGGGGGAGGAGGGTGGGAAATGGGGGAGGATAAGAGGGAGGGGATCAAGGAACAGAAGAAAGTAGCAAAACATTTAAGGGACCACAAACGGAAGGAATCTGTTGATTACAATGTATGTATTGGTGACAGGAACATTCATTTGGTGTGCTGCTCGTTTTCTCATTGACATTACTCCTTACATTACATAGTTACTCTATTTCAGATCCTTCTCTTAGAGTGGAATGAATGAAATAAGATGTGGTTTAAAAACAGCTGTTCATATACATGTTAAGAGAACATGTTGGAGCCAGCAAGTGGCATGGTGGTTAAGGTGCTGGATCTCAAATGGCCGACACCGCAGTTCGAGTTCCAATGGCTAGAAAATCACACTGTGTGTGTGCGTGCCTAAGGTCCCCAGAGGAGAATGATTAAATGTAAAAAAATAAATGTACATGTATATTAGAAGAAGGGTGATAACAGCTTGTAATTCATAATTTACGGTTGGTCCTCTTTTCCTTTGGAGGACGGAGTCCCGTGAAGAACCTCACCTGGCAACTTCTTTTGGATGATACTGACACCTTCACCCACATTCCCCACAGGCAGCCCGTTCTCCAGCTCTGGCATGCTCAAACTCACACTCTCACACACTCATATTTGCTAGATTGCAGAGAAAACACAAGAATCTTCTAAAGGTTTATAGAAAAAAAATGGAATACAAGTATCAGCTTAGGGGCCAGCAGGTGGCGTGGTGGTTAAGGCACTGGACACTCACACACGGTCGACCACGGTTCAAGTCCTGATGATTTGCTTTCTCACTTTCCCTCTCGCTCTTTCTCTGTCTCTCTCTGGTCAAATGAAATGAATGAATAAATAAAAATTAAATAAATAAGTCTTAAAAAAAAGTATGAGTTTATTTGGGTGCAAAAGATCCCCTGAAATCCTTGCGATCTTTTCATAATATGCATTTCTGTGAACATTTTGAAGATCTCCTCGCAAGGTGTAGAATACCCAGTTAAATTGAATTTCAGATCAATGATAAATACATTTTTAGTATAAGCATGTCTCGTGCATTGCTTGCAATGTTGCCGTGCAATTTTGGGGACCCATGGGTCTTCAGAAAGCCCAGGGGAAACATGTATCTTAGAGTACAGAATCAGCCCACTGCACCCGCAGGCCTAGTCCAAGCTGAACTCCGGGCTCTGGCAGGGACAGACTCCCACATGAGAGGCCGCCCAGAGGCCATCTTGACAGCCCAGGCTGCTGAGCCCAGCCCCTGCCGGGCAGCTCAGATCTCCTGTAAACACTTCCCCTAGCACTTCCTCAGTTCTGGGCGTGTTTATTTTACAGAAAGGGGCTCCAGCCCATCTGGGATGTGTTTGGAAGGGATTGCCTCTTTTCTTTATAAAAATAACCTCGTTTCTTTATGTAACTGGGTCAACCGCCAAATCAGCAATTGAGCCTCACCTTTTCCTGGGTGTGTTCCTGGAAATAGTGTCAGTGGCTGTCTGGTTAACCATTCGCGTGCACCGTCCCCGGCTTGAGCTCCTTTACAATAAAGCTCCACAGTGCTGGCTGGCTCTTTCCTCTGTCCCCGGGGCCCTCAGGCCAAGCGGGCAAACTCAGTTCATCTTCAGTGGATGAGGGCTGGATGGGAAGGACGGGGTCACAGCCGCTTTCGATCTGTTTGCAGCTTCTAACTCTCACCTTGGAGCAAGTGCTGTTGTAGTCAGGGCTCATCTCATCCCAAGCCAATGGGACCAACATGACCAAGACATTTAAAACATTGAAGTTTTCAGAGCCAGCAGGGTGGCATAGTGGTTAAACCACTGGACTCCCATATGGCTGACTGTGGTTTGAGTCCCAGACCAAGCAGTTTGAAAAATCACACTGGGCATATGTATGTGTGTGCCCCAAATCCCAGAAGGAGAATAAAGGAAAAGGGATTCAGCCTGGCCATCTCCCCTGTGGAGGAGGGGGATTTCTCACTTTCTCTCTCACTGTCTCTCTGTCTCTCCAGTGAACACACATGCGCTATGGCAAAAACCTTTAAGAAAAGAATCTGAATTTTGTATATAACTACAAGAGTAACTTGAAGAAGATTCCTCTTACCGCTTCAGATGTCTCCACTTCCCCTGGTATGGTAGGGAGCCAGGCCTTGCGCAAGGACGTCATCCCTGAATACTTACATGCGGCCACTGGCTTCAGTGAAATGAAGGGCGTGAACAGAAACCACAGCCATTACAGCTAGCGGAGGGGGAGAACCGGCCACTCCAGGGGACACGAGTGAAGGGCAGGTATGCTCTTGGGGCTGCCACCTGGACCAGGGTAGGTTCTGGGTTTCCTAAGGGCTTCGACCGCAAGCTGGCTGGTGCTGGAAAAAAGTGCATGCCTTCATGTAGACCTCGCCCTCCCGCGTGATTGTTCTGGAGAAGCTGAAGATCTGTGGATGAGGCTGACTGCAGAGCTGCTGGCATCGCCTGAACACAGTCTTCCTAAGTAGGCTGAGGGTGTGTGGAACTTCTTAGATGCTGGTCCATCAGCCCCGAAGAGCCTGGTGAGATGGGAGGTGCCAGAAATGCTACCCGTCTTCCACACGTTGAAGACAAGGCACGGGGGGCTGTGAGGTGGGGTGCCTTCACCCTGCACGCTTCACTGGCTGTCAGTGTCCCTGCTTAGGCTCTTCTTTTTCTTCTTCTTTTTTCACCAGAGAGAGGGAGCAAGAGAGAGAAATCACCTCTTGAGGGGTTGGCCACCCCGCAACCCCTTCTCCTTCATTCTCCTCTAGGGACTTTGGGCACACACACGTACACATGCACTTGGAGTGAACTGTAGTATAGGTGGCCATGTGGGATCCAGTGCCTTAACCACCATGGCACCAGCTGGACCCCTGCTTAGGCTTTAATGCCAGAACATATGACATAGTCTGAACACTTTCCCAACACACACGCATACATGCACACACACACACGAACACACATGCATAGCTAATAATGTTCTGAAATCCACATCGAAGCCTAAATTGGCTCTTTGACCCCAAGCCCACCCATGACTGCCAGGAGATCTAATATGCTGCTTTTTTGGGGAAAAAGAAAAAAAAAAAAACATTGCCATGAGGTCAGAGTTGTTTCTGAGAAAGAGACAATTATTTTATCTTAGGAGGAAGGATGTTGGGGGTAGTGGAGCACAAGTTGGCTTTGTCTTCATCGGTGATGTTTCCATACACACACACACACACACACACACACACACACACACACACACACACACACGCGCCTTCATATTCATATACTTCCCTCCAGGCGTGCTGCAAC